GGTGTGTGACACGTTCCCTGTCCCCGGTGCGTGACACGTTCCCTGTCCCCGGTGTGTGACACGTGCCCCGTGTCCCCTCAGCGTTCACGAGCCGGCTCAGCGGGAACCGGGGGGTTCAGTACACGCGGCTCGCGGTGCAGCGCGGGGGCACCTTCCACATGGGGGGCACCGGTACCCACAGCAGGTGAGTGTGGGGGCTTGGGGGTCGCTTTGGGGGATGTTTGGGGTCAGGTTGGGGGTCTGTCTGGGTCAGTTCTGGATTGTAACCCCCCAGACTGATGGGCAGCAGCATGGACAGGGCAGTTTGGAGGGTGGTTTGAGGGCAGTTTTGGGGTGTTAACCTCGTGGCCCCCAGGCCAGTGGGCAGCAGCATGGACAGGGCAGTTTAGAGGGTGGTTTGAGGACAGTTTTGGGGTGTTAACCTCATGCCCCCCAGGCCAGTGGGCACCAGCATGGACAGGACAGTTTGGGGTTAGTTCGGGGTCAGTTTGGAGGGCGGTTTGGGAGCAGTTTTGGGGTGTTAAACCTCCATCCCCGCAGGCCAGCGGGCAGCAGTGTGGGCAGGGCTGTCTGGAGTCAGTTTGGGGGCTGTTTCGGGGCATTGGCCTCACACCCCCCGGGCTGGTGGGCAGGGCAGTTTGTGGGTGTGTTCGGAGGCCGTTTCGGGGTGTTAACCTCGTGCTCCCCAGGCCGGCGGGCAGCAGCATGGACAGGGCAGTTTAGAGGGTGGTTTGGGGGCAGTTTTGGGGTGTTAACCTCGTGCTCCCCAGGCCGGCGGGCAGCAGCGTGGACAGCCTGCTCCGGCTGCGCGGGCGGCTGCTCCTGGACCACGAGGCCCTGTCGTGCCTCCTGGTGCTGCTCTTCGTGGACGAGCCCAAGCTGAACACGAGCCGCCTGCACCGGGTGCTGCGCAACCTGTGCTACCACGCGCCCACGCGGGGCTGGGTGGTGCGCAGCCTGCTGTCCATCCTGCAGCGCAGCAGCGAGAGCGAGCTGTGCCTCGAGACCCCCCGCGCGCCCCCCGGGCCGGGCCCCGGCGCCGAGGAGCGGCCGCGCAGCCGCGGCGCCCGCGGGACCCCCGGCTCGGAGCCGCGCGGGCTGGACCTGCTGCACCGCGTGGAGTCGCGCAGCTCCGGGCAGCTCTCCTGGCTCTCCGTGTCCATGGACGCGGCCCTGGGCTGCCGCACCAACATCTTCCAGATCCAGAGGGTGCCGGGCCGCAAGCACACGGAGAAACACGCGGCGGCCGCCGGCTCCGCCGTCCACATCCACCCCCAGGCCGCCCCCGTCGTGTGCCGGCACGTCCTCGACACCCTCATCCAGCTGGCCAAGGTGAGGGGGCCAGGGGGGCCTTGGGGGGCACGGGGAGCACGTTGGGGGGTGGTCTGGGGCTCCTCAGTGGAACTGGGAGGGCCCTGGGGGATTTTGGAGGCCAGTGGGGCAGGTTTTGGGGGTTACAGACGCGTAAGGGGGGGATTGGGTCTCCTCCATGGAACTGGAAATTGCGGGACACTGGATCACGTCATTGGGTTTCTGGGGGTTCATTGGTGGTTCTGGGGAGCGCTGGGACATTTGGGCAGTACCAGGGCATTTTAGGGGGTGGTTGGGGTCTCCTTAGTGGGACTGGGGGGACTTTGAGGGTGCTGGAGGAAGCTGGGGGAGCTCTGGGACACCTCATAGGGGAGCTGGAAGCCCCCCATATCTGGGAGTGCGTGTGGGGGGCACAGCTGGGAAACTCCCCCAAATTGGGGGTCACAGTGGCACAGGGAACATCACCTGGGGGGGGTCCCCAAAACCCGTGTGGGGCCTGTGGGTGGCTGAGGCCTCCTTGGGAGGGGAGGTGGGACTGAGGGGGGTGCTGGTGGTGTCCGGGGGTCCCACAACCTCTGGGGTGTCACCAGCACCCCACTAACACCCCCCCACCCCCCCCCCAGGTCTTCCCCAGCCACTTCACCCAACAACGAGGCCGAGACCCGGCAACGACCGACCCGGAACGTGACCGCGGCCCCCCAAAATCGGGGGGCAGCCCTTGCCCCCCCCCCCCCCCCCCGCCCCCGCCGGCGCCCCCGCCCCCCCCCCCCCCCTCCGGCACGCCCTCCCCCGCCCCTCCCCCGCCCTCCGGCAGCCTCTCCACCGATTTTTGGGACCTGCTGGTGAAGCTGGACAACATGAACGTGAGCCGGAAGGGGAAGGGGTCTGCGCGGGCGGGGGGCGGCGGGGGGGGCCCCGAGCCCGAGGCCGCGGGGGGGGGCCTGGAGGCGTCGCCCCTGGGGCAGCTGATGAACATGTTGTCCCACGGCGTGATCCGGCGCAGCCCCCTCCTCACCGAGAAGCTGCTGCGCCTCCTGTCCCTCATCTCCATCGCCCTCCCCGAGGGGGGCAAGGCCGCCGAGGGGGGGGGCCACGCCCCAGAACGGAGCCCCCGCGCCCGCCACGCCCGCTGGGGGGGCTGCGGCGGCTTCGGGGGGGGCGACGGCGCCCGGGAGCCCCCCGGCACAGGGGGGCAACGGCAGCGGCACCGGCACGGCCACGGCGGGGGCTGGAGGCACTGGGGGTGAGTGTGGGGGGCACAGGGGTGGGGATGGGGGGATGGAGATGTGGCAAGGGGGACGTGTACAGGAATGGAGACACGGGGACAAGAGGATGGATATGGGGATGGGGATGTGGGAACAGAGGACATGGATATGGGTACAGGGATGTGGCTGGGGACATGGATATGGGTACAGGGGTGTGGCTGGGGACATGGATATGGGTACAGGGATGTGGTTGGGGACATGGATATGGGTACAGGGGTGTGGCTGGGCACATGTGTGGGGACACAGAGATGGGGTGGGGACACGGGGGTGGGAGAACAGGGATGGGGACACAGAGGTGGGAAAATAGGAATGGGGTGGGGATGAGGTTGTAGGGACAAGGACACAAGGATGGGGTCACGGAGGTGGGAAAATAGGGATGGGGTCATGGATGGGGACAGGAGTGGGGATACAGGTGGAGACAGAGGTGGCATCGGGTGGTTGAGAGCACAGGGAGGGACTGGGCTCACCCTGAAGGAGAGACACCGTTTGCCAACGGCCTCGGTGGCATCTCCCCTCCCCTGCCACCACCCCCAATCCCGTGTCCCCTCTGTCCACAGCCCCGGCCAAGAGCTCCAAGTCCCCGGCCAAGGTCCCTGAGGGGGGTCCCGACCCCCGGCTGGCGGCCACGGGCCTGACCGAGGCCCAGCTCCAGCTCTCCGTGGAGGTAACGGGGGCCAGGATCGGGGAGAGGGGTGGTCCTCGGTGTCCCCAGTTGTCCCCAACACTCCCTGTGCCCTGTCCCCAGGTGCTGACATCCCACTCGTGCTCGGAGGAGGGGCTGGAGGACGCGGCCAACGTGCTGCTGCAGCTCTCGCGGGGGGACGCGGGGACCCGGGACACCGTCCTGCGGCTGCTGCTCAGCGGGGCCCGGCAGCTGGGGGGGGCCCTGTGCCGCCAGATCGGTGAGGGGGGGCCTGGGGGGGCCATGGGCTGCCAGATCGGTGAGGAGGGGCCCCGGGGGGGGCCCCGGCCCATGCCACCCCCCCCCTGCCCCCCCCAGGGACTCTGCTGGCCGAGCTCCGTGAGTACAACCTGGAGCAGCAGCGCCGGGCGCAGCTCGAGGCCCCCTCCCCCGAGGGGCTCCCCGAGGAGCAGCCGCCCAGCGCCAAACTCAAGGGCAAGATGCAGAGCCGGTGAGTGCCTGGCGTGCTCTGGGCCCTTCCCGTGGTCCCGCTCCCACCGCTCGCTCCGGGTCCTTCTGATAACCCCGTGCCCCGTTTGCCGTGGGCCCCCTGGCAGCTCCCGTGCCCATCGTGTGCCCCCATCCCTGCTGGTAACTCTCGTCCTCTCCGTTCCCCCCGGTCCCTCCGGTGCCCCCAGGTTCGACACGGCGGAGAGCGTGGTGATCGTGGCGTCGCAGAAGCGCGCCCTGGGCGGGCGGGAGCTGCAGCTGCCCTCCATGTCCGTGCTCACCTCCAAGACGTCCACGCAGCGCTTCTTCCTGCGGGTGCTGCAGGTCATCATCCAGCTGCGGGACGACACGCGCCGGGCGCACCGCAAGGCCAAGCCCCCCGGCCGGCTGGGTAAGGGACCCCCCCCGGCCCCCGCCCCGCGCCCCCCGCGCGCCGCCCGCCCTGACCCCCCCGCTGTGCCCCGCAGGCGCCGGGGGCCTGGGGGCGGCCGGCAGCATCCAGGCCGCCGTCCGGCAGCTGGAGGCCGAGGCCGACGCCATCATACAAATGGTACGTGAGGGCCAGAGGGCCCGGAGGCGGCAGCGGGGAGACACGGTTAGCACGGCCGCCTTGCCTTCCTCCACCCCCTCCTCAGCCTCTGCCCCTCCTCAGCCCCTGCCTCGCACACCCTCCTTGTCCTGCTCCCTCCTCAGCCTCCCACCCCCTCCTCATCCTCGTTCTCCCTCTCCTCAGCCTCCCACCCCTGCTCCCATGCCCTCCTCAGCCTCATCCTGCCCCCTCTTTATCCTCATCTTCTCATCCTCTCCCATCCTCATCCTCATCCTCCCTTTCCTTATGCTGCCATTCCCTTCTCCCATCCCCTC